ATATAATATGATATAGCCAGAGGCCTAACGCAGACGACACGGTCAATGAAAAGCATTCTGGGATATTGCGCGCGTGTTTAATATCTTCTTAAATAAATTATTCTTATATATATATATATATAATTATTTCAATAAAGAACACACCATTTTATACGCAAAATATGGATAACTGACGAACGACAATCAAGATGTCGGCATCCGGTGGAAGGAGGGGACTTTCCGAACAACGGTTTTTGAATTGATTAACATGCACCTATGCAGAGGGTTTGGGGGAGGGGGTTCGGTCGAACCCCCTATTTTTGTGATGTAAAAACTTATATAATTATAGCGCAGCTACTTGTGGTATTTAATTTTTTCTACATGGTCTACGTTCTTCTGATGACTAGCATGTTATCGCTTGAAATAGTCGTATGTAATGGCTTCTGTTGACACTTTGTAATTGGAAGCCGAAGCCGTATTGCTGTTGTCAGGTTTTGTGGGCCGGATTCTTGCTGATTGTGATTCGCACAATATGTGTTGGCTATTGATCTCACAAATTAGAACCCTCCCCATTTTAAACATTCCGTGTACGGGCTGATTGGATATGATGAATATAACTGGTCTTCTTCAAGTTAGCTATAGAACTCAGTTGTATATATCCCCGAATTTCGGTAAGATTTCAATCAAATTCAAATTTTTTTTTATTAATTAGCTTCAATAATTCCAATTGTCTAAAGCAAAGTATCCGCCTCTCCCCCCCCCCCAAAAAAAAAAGAAATGGCAGATTTTAAATATTTAAGCCAATTTTTATTTCATGTTGTTAAAATATATGAAGTTATCTGGATTGGTTGAAGTCAAAGACTTAGTGTTTCTAGAAAACGTGGTATTATCCAAGTGTTACTATGTCATCAACCATTTAGTTTGTACACATAATTCCTCGTCGCCAGTTCTTGGTGCAGCTTTGAATTAGGCCCTACACTTTATTATGCCAGAAAGCCAGATATCAGTTCTTGGTGCAGCTTTGAAAATATCTAGCTTTCTAGGATAATAAGGTCTACGACCTAACTTGTAAATGTCAGTAGATTTTTTTTTTTTTTTTACAGACATCATTGTATAGTAGTTCATGGAAAAAAAAACTAGGCGTATATTCTATTGCCGCATATTTCGTATTTAAATAATTTCCTAAACTACAAAAGATGTTTTTAATTCACTACATGAATAGGTCAACGTTTTTATCTTTAAGCATTTCAGGATTGACGAAGAAGAAAAGATCCAAGACCCGCATCCAAGATTAAAAACGAAGTGAAAAAAGTAGCTGACGTGAATATGAATACATAATAACAAAAGGATACAAGGACGTTGAATTGTATAGAAAAGAAAATCCACGAAAGAGAGAGTCGAGCTTCTCGATTATGCCACGGGTTGTCGCTTTTATCGCTTAATTCAAAAGGTTTGAATAAAGAGAGGGAGATGTAGGGCAAGAATGTCATTCTAAAAATCTTTACTGGTACGTCACAACCGGCTTTCGGTTGAACAAGGTTAATCTTGATGAATAACGACATACTGACGTCACCATATGCAAGCCAACTTACATATCAGAATGTAGTCCACTGTTGCTGGGCTTCTTAGACCTATTTCTAATGCAGCTCCCACTTCAACCTTTAATATACATCCATTTCATTATAAACAGTTACAAATGCACTGTGCTAATATAAAGACAAATTAACCACAATAAGTAGAGTTACCAGATTTCCAGAGTGAACAACTGGGACTCTTTCAAAACTTTAATATTAACCCTGTATTCGGAGACATTACAGAATCGTATTTAATATCCCCCATATTTCCTGTGATGGCCACCATTATGTGCCCTAGCTAGAAATTGGCATGCCTCCCTCCCCCCGAATAGTTTTTGGAGTCGTGTACACACAGAAGTGATTCAAGGCATGATTAGTTAGTTAGTTTGTTTCAGTTCTCATGGGTACCTCCTCCACGGTGGGCTGTAGACCCCGAGGAAAAACGAAACGTCAGTACCCCCCCCCCCCCGAGAATATATCAGTTTTGTACAACAATTCTAGCTACTATATTTGTTTTGGCCCGTTATGGCCAGGTGGTTAGGGTTCGAATCCACGTCCCACCAAACATTGTTGCCCTTTAAGCCGTGGGGACGTTATAATGTGCAGGTCAATCCCACTGTTCGTTGGTAAAAGAGTAGCCCAATAGTTGGCAGCGAGTGGTGATCACTATCACTTCCCCATCCCCTCCTCTTCCCAATGGTGAGCACAAACTATAAACAAGGATGCAACAGTTCACAAGATGCCAAACGAATCTCCTACACTCACTGGGAAGCAACTTTTAGTGACCTCTGACCTTTCTTTTTTGATAGGAAGTTTAAAGGGGATATCAAGAAGAAAGTTATTTATATATTTCATTTATTCATTATTTAGTTAGCCAGTGGAGCTTCTTAAGCACTTGAGCTTTGACCTTTGGTCCCCCCCCCCCCATCACACAAACACATTGAAATTACAATTGGATTTATGAAAGGTAAAATTCTGTACTACGTTCAGTAGCGTTAGTTGTACTCATCTGCCGCGAGGTGGCAACAAACGTAAGACTGTTGCTAAACGCTCAGTTCACGTACAGAGCTAGTGCCAGGGAAGATAATAAACACCTGCCACTTGCAAATACGTAATGAAATTTATCAAACGATTTGAGGAAATTCCAAAACATGAAAGGGTAAAAGTCATGCAGGTAAGAAATTCAACCGTCATATTTACTTAAAATGATAAGTTATGAACTTATAAATAAATCCCAGATTTTACATATTTTTTATTTAAGCCTACCTGAGTTTGGTATCCCTTTGATTCTTGATCGTTCCTACACACCACATGATTTCTGTTCAACTCACAAACAACAACGATATTTCGTCAAAAGTCAACCTACGTTTACTTCAAGGTATTCAGTTTATAGAAATGGATATCACTGTGTACGCTAGGTAATCCAATAATATCATCAATACACCTGTTCCTCGAGTGTGGGAGGAATAAAACTGCAAAACCTTTTAGCATGTTAACATCTTGTAACATTTACCAGAGAAGCACCCAACTTCAGATTTCATATCAGGATGTCAGAAGTTCTCTAACCAACAAACACGATTCTTTAAACTTATTAGAAATATAACACGGGATCTCTCTGTGCAAACTGCACTAGGCGTATCTGTAACTTATGGAAAAGGACCAATTACAAAATACTGACGATTAAGAAATGCCATCGAGAAGCAAGAAAGGATTTCTTTTTCTTCATAAAACAACAGTTATATGTCGGCCCACTAAGGCAGTCATCAGCCAACCATGTCAAAAGATTAAGTTTGTTGCTCAATCCTTGCTAAAAATTACGAATTTTGCATATCTAATTCTCGGCTTTTGAACATTTCACTACAGAATCTTATCAAAACTTACAACACAGTCTTCAAACTTAGAAACGGGGATAAATGAAAAACTAGGAAATTCTTGAGCTGATACCGCTCGGCTACAAGTCGAGTTGTGGCTTCTCTCGCTCTTCACTTCGCTAAATCAACTAAACTTGCTCACACGTCAGAAAGGAAATTGCTAGCCACAGTTTCCTTCTATTGTCTCTACCCCACGTGACTACCTCCCTCCCTCCTACTCAGGTAGATAAAGAACGATCAGCATCAAAGAAAGCAACAAACACCGCTGCAACAGACGCTAACTTTCTACATCTTATGCCCTTAAGGAAGCGTCTGTTTTTTTATTCTTCGTTCCAGAGTAGTCTCTGCTGTATTCTCTGAAGAACGCGAAGTACAACATTTGTGCAGGAATGTGAATATTAATTACATTCTCCTGAATTATCATAATTTACTCAGACGATCAGTACCAAGTAAACCTATATAAGCAGTTTTTAGAAGCCTCTTAGATGACTGTTGGTTAATGATAAATCAAAAGACAAGAAAACGTTTTTGAAAGTTGTAAAGGTGTTTAAATCGCTTCCTTGTCGCTATCATAAGCTTGTTAAATGTTAATGTGGTTCTATACGAATATATCAAATTGTAAACACAATTTCATGTCAGTTTTGTTTGAAATATATTTTTATTTCAAACAATTGACTGTTAATCCTGCATTCATTCAAACTGATAATGACTATAGTTAATTATATTTCTCGTAAGGCACCAGAATGAGATCTTTTTTCTTCAACACTAATTATTTAATCAATCCCTTTAGATTTTTCAAGAAGTGTATAATATTATTTCAACCACACTGTGTCGCCATATCCATAACTGAAAAAAAGAATATAACATGAAAATATAATAGGCCTAATAGTGGTATCTTATTACAAATATATTCATTAGCAGAAGCTCGAAAAAAAAATTGTGCTTAAATTAGTATTTTTATTGTAACAGTACATCTTTAATAACTTCAAGATTTCAAGAATAATGCCAAAGAATTATAATTGCGGACACCGAAATCTGTTAGTCCATTTGTCTTAGGCCTAACGTTAGTTAAGCCTTTATCAAGTATGGCCTATATTCGATAAAAGAGATAAGTTAACACTAACTTGTGTACTTTTTTGGTTTAGTTTTGTTAGGACTAAAATTTACTAGTAAATAAACTTATGTTATTCTACAACCTAACATTAGACCTTTTTTTTTTAAACTTTGCTAAGCTTTTAATATGTTGCTGTACAAAATGCCTACTAAAGCATATTTAAATCTGTTGAATGAAGCGCGTAGCATACGTATTTAGATAGTAAGGTGCGCGCGCATTTTCAGGACGAACAAAATCTGAGTATTATTATTATTATATATTCTAATCATGCTTCGTCAGCTTAATTAACAAAGACGTTTACACAACAACATTTGTTGAACAAGATATAATTTAATAGTTTCGTTTTGAGTTTACTTACTAATTAAATACATTTTACTTACTGTAATAAGATATAATTTAACTGCATTTTCTTTGATATTTTAACCTTACAGTGTGTGCAGATTTTGGTTATCACACAGGAATAAACATTGCTAAAACTTACAAAATGTGAAACCGTAAATTTGCAAGTATCTCCGCAAGTAGTGGTAAAAAATGCAAAACGCCCACAAAATACTGCAAAATGCAAAACTGAAAATTTGTATGTACCCCCCACATGGACCTAATTAACCTCCATTGCAATTTTGGTGACGATCCATCCACACCCTGCGAAGTAGTTACATGGACGTACAACAGACAGTACTATTATATTTATATAAATTCTTTGAGGTGAACCTTCCACAACTAAAACAAGTACAGATATACCCCCCTCAGGTGACTCAGTGATAAACTTGCGCTTATGACGCTAAAATGCGAACTACTATTAATTTATCTATTACAAATGATAAAAATAATAGGGTTAATACCCCAGTCAATCACAATGGCTACAACCGTGGATCCATAGAATATTTGTGCTATTATTTATCTGACATTATTATTGTTATAATTATTGTGCTAATAAAAAAAAATAACTCTTACGTAAACCCAAGACTGTTTCATTGTGTAGTAACTTTTCGGGGGTATTTATATCACCACGGCATCCGCCACATATTAGTAGCAGTGTACGAGAGAGAGAGAAAATAGTTCTTTCTTGTTGCTACTCTAACAAATATCAATAATATTATAATGTTTAATTTTATTAGAAAAAGTTTGTGTCTGAAGTAAGATACATTAACAAGGGTCGATGGCACAATGGATACCCTCCGCACGTGTGCTTTCACCGGAAGTCGGTTTGGCCTTCATGATACCTCACCCATCATCTATTACGCGTCAATAGACGATGTGAATGTGGTTAATCGTGGGAAAGTGGGTTTTTACAGCGATCTCTCACCAGTAAATAAAAGTACTTGGTTATCCCCCTTCTGGTAATAAAAAAAAAAAAGGTAATTACTAATGTCAAGTTTTCCAAAACTAACCCTAGGGCTAGTAAGACGAAGAATAAACATATACGAATATGTATAGTTTGTTTCGTTAGTGTGTTAGACATCTTGATTTTCATTAGGAATAATTATCATTAGTTCGCTAGTGGTCAGAGTTTTATATCTGTGGTGAGTATAAGTGTCAGTGAGAACCAATTTTTGTGAATCACAAATAATGATTAATACCTTCAATAAGTTATAGTAAAATTAGCACAAAATTCAATCTCAGAGCATCTATTTTTCAGAATTTTCCTGGGGGGCATGCCCCCCCCCCAAAAGCGCTATTTTGAGTCGTCTGACCAATCAAAAATTTCTTACTGTATTTTTTTTTTTAGAGCAATATTCCACATTTTGGAAGAACAACAATCCATAATGTAGAGTTATCCAGTTCACGCTGTGGTAGTTTGACCTACTTCGGGTTCAATAAGACTAGCTTGCTTATTTGCCGGTTTTTCTTGACAATACAAGAAAGTAATAATTAACGATATATATATAGCGGTAAACGACATAAATAAAACTCATGAAAACTTACATTTCACCTGTTGAATCCAGTTCACATTGTAACAGTGGTTGTGAAGCAATTTCTCAATTATATATATATATATATATATATATATACTATCTCAACCACCACTGTGTCCACCGTATCCCAACCGACTTTCACCTGTTGAATCCAGTTCACATTGTAACAGTGGTTGTGAAGCAATTTCTCAATAATATATATATATACCATCTCAACCACCACTGTGTCTCCCGTATCCCAACCGAACTGAAGAATCCTGGTATTTAGCGAAAGGCCTCGTCGGTACTGGTTATAGCAGATTTAGTGTGATTGGGATATTACTATAGACTTTTTTTCTGTCTTCCAGAAATTGATATTAATAATATTGTTGACGCAACATTATTCAAGCGAATATTGTTTATCGTTATTTATAACAGTCGTTGAATTACACACTCGCTAGAAATGTAATAGTTATAAGTATGGAATATCACTAAATTAGAAGACTGAAAAAAAATTCACGTGTATTTGTTTGTTTAAATTTCGCGCAAAGCTACACGAGGGCTATCTGCGCTAGCCGTCCCTAATTTAGCAGTGTAAGACTAGAGAGAAGGCAGCTAATCATCTCCACCCACCGCCAATTCTTGGGCTACTCTTTTACCAACAAATATTGGGATTGACCGTCACTTTATAACGCCCCCACGGCTGAAAGGGCGAGCATGTTTGGTAGGACTGGGACGGGGATTCGAACCCGCGACCCGCAGATTACGAGTCAAGCGCCCTAACCACCCGGCCATGCCGGACACACGTGTATTTAGAGCACAAAAAATACGTTGTTCGAGGAAATGCATCTTTCAAACTACAACTGTCAATATTGTTCGTAGTTATTTAAAATACAAAAACACACAACGGGCTATACGTACTATGGCCACCACGGGTATCGAAACCCGGTTTCTAGCGTTATAATTTCGCAAACTTACTGCTGTACCGCTAGGGGGCACTGTCAATATTAACAATTGTACTTTCACAATAATAAGATTATTCTGGTATAACTTGCGCGTGATTTATTTGGACAAAACCAAATTTCAACGACAAATTAGAAAGATAATTTATACTATTATTTAGTATGTACGATACAGGGCAAGGGGAAAATATACAGAGGAGCCATAACAATATATTATAATTGCCTAACTATTTTTAGGCTATCAATATGTGGGGGGGGGGGAATATGTCGATGTGATCAATATAATATAATTTATTAGATAAATAATCTTTTTTTTCCCCTATTTTGAAACCCGATGGGTCAGTGGTAAGTTTACGAACTTACAATACTAAAATACGGTGTCAATCTCTCCGCAGTGGACATAACGCAGAGACTTCCCTGTGTAGGTTTTGGGCTAACAACAACTGTATGTTAAGCGAACTAGATGGCGCTGTGAAAATAAAAAGAAATTGAAATAACTGCAGCGTTGGAAAGGAAGTTTCGTTCTAATAACTCGCTGAAGCTTCAGCTGCTTAAACGATTTCAGCAGCTACGCTCTACTTGAAGCTTACTATCGATTAAAAAAAAAAAAAATAACTCTTTTCGTGCTCCCCCCCGAAAACAGCCCTGTTAATGTCTGTATGTGGTAAGAGCGGTTATAAAACAGTAAGAGCTGTAGTGGGTGTTTTGAAAGAACTGATCAATAATATTCTTATTTGCTGTCACTAATATGTTAATTACACTATATCTACCAAATCCTGTGCCGACGAGGCCTTTCGCCCAAAACCAGGGCCCATCACGCCAGCTAAGGTTACACGTGTACAATCACGTGTGTAATTCACCGAAAAAACACTTAAGATTTGAGCATGTCAAAATTATCAGACTGAAATGAAAAGCTACATTGGTGTTTGTTCGAATTGTGCCACTGCTGGTTCTGAACTGTAATTAATTTAAATCGTTTTTGTTACATAAAGGCTCTCTTCTTTTTAGATCCTTGCTTGGTATTTTACGTTTTGATAACTTGCACGAACACCAGAGTAACATTTCATTTCGGTCTTGTAATTGTG